GGCGTAGACCAAATTAAAGAAGTTCAAAACACAGGCAAGGTTCTACATTATCACAACCATTGCATTCTTATGCTTCTTTTAATAAGAAATCCCAGGTTGTTCTAATTGTAAGTTATCTGCAACTAATAAAGCATAAACTAACAAACTCTCACCTCCCTGGTGTAAAACTTCACAGCAAAACCTCGGGGATCTCTCAGCGTCTCAGGGCTACCACGCTCATGGATAACAGTGGAGAAACGTACAATAACTGGAGTCTGAACTCCAGGGGCACGAAGGAAATCAGCACAAGTAAGGTGGGTAATATCATGAGTCACCTCAAAAAACCCTTTTGCACTAGCTCCTCTAGCATGGACAACACGCTCTGGGATCCGCTCTCTATCAAAGTTAGCAAGTTTCTCCACGAGATGATAATCCTCTAGGAGAATAGGACCTGCCAAATAAAACATATTCGAGTACTTTTATCGATAAGTGTCTTTCGAATACTAAGGACTAACCACAACATTTTTGGTATTCTCATCTACAGCTATCTGACACCAGATTTCAAACCTTTTTGCCAGAAAAGTTGATAGATATGCTGAAGATATTCACTAAGCATTGTCCAAATGAGAATGACAAGAAACACAACCCTTTCAGAGAATCTTTCTGACTCCATATTTGTTCTTCACATTCAACATCTACCAGAATATACAGCTCTTATAACAGAATAGACCATCGTCTTTTAGCAACTGGTCTTAATTGCCATTAGAAATGTAGCATATGATTAATAAATGATAAAACTAGTTCCCTCATCTAACCAATTTTCCACAACTTGAATAGCTTCTATAGAAGATAAGACCAACAAATCTTCATGACCTTCTCAACTAATAGGTATAAGTCGAAAGTAAATATAGAGCTAAAGTCGACGTATCTCTGAAGACGAAACGGGCTTCTTTGGCAGCAAAGCGCCCACTCCTGCTAATTCTCCGTAAGCATGGCCGGGAGAAGTAGGGGGGAGAGTAGACAAGAAACTTTGAGGGTACTATAAACGCAAGTACAGATTCAACAGTACTTCCATCTAACATCATAACTACTATCGAACAAAAAGAAAATAACAATAAACGCGCACTATTGACGTAGTCTTGCTAGTGTTTTAACAGCTACGTCAAAAACCGAAATATCAGAAACCAATTCTTACCCCTGGGTCCAACGGTTAACGACGAGTTATTGTTCCACACTGGAGCGCCAGAATTTGTAGTCCAGAAGGGGCTGTTGTAGCCACTTGAAGGGCGGTGCTGCACCGCGCGAACAGATTAAACAAACTTAGCCGAAATATAAACAATTAAGAAATTAGCTAAACAGAATTCCAACTTCATGAACATACTCAATAGAATTATGTACTTCGTTTGTCGTCGAGTAAACATATCCGAAAATCAAAATAACATTCAGAAAGTCCTTTACGGTAGACGCAAAGTATTTCAAAACCTCTCCCCGCGGAAATGAAAACAAAGAAAACCATTTCTCCATAAGAAAATCAGTTCGAAATTGAAGAAAATCCAGATGAAAAATCTAGCGGCAATTTCGATTTGATCAAGAACCAAGAACGCAGCGGTGAAGAAAGCAAGTCAAATCCCCATTGGTAAACACGAAAACACATCAAACTCGAATCCAAAAAATGAAGGCGTGAAGATGGAAATACCCTGTAAGGATCCATTGCAGCAGGAGAAGAACCGAGACTCGAAGACGACCTCGGATAATCTGGAATGGGCGAGACGATTAACGAAGAGAAAAGCGAGGGTGAGGATTATATAAAAGCAAGCACCCGTGGCTTGCACTTGTCGCTTTTATAATCTAATTTTTAAATTTCATCGTCATTTTATTCTTTGCCACCCGTGCCTTACTCTTTACTCTTTCCCCCTTCTCTTCAACTTGTCGCGGTTTTTCGTCGCTCCTCTCGCGAGAAAATGTCTCCATACTAATAGGTTAGTAAAACAAAAGGTTATTTATTAATTTAGTCTTTTTATCTAAATTATTGAAATTTGGTATAAAATTTATATTTAGATATAAAATATTCAAATGTTTTTATAATTTTATATCGAAATGTAAGGATTATTCTAATTATTTAGAGTAATTAGTTGAGCATAATTAAATTAAAAAGTCAGCTTCCCATCCTAATTAAATTGTGAGCAACAAATAATTTGATAAATGACTTTCCTTCTAAAAAATTATATTTATATTTAAAAAATGAATAAAAATAAAAATGTTTTTTAAGTTGTGTGAAAAGAATAAATATTGGTAAAGAGAAGAGAAATTGGAGATTATAGTGAAAGATAATTAAAGGACGTTATGGAGCCGCGGTTTCTTATCCCCAACAATTCTGGTGATTTGCGTGAATAGAACCACAGCCATGCATGCAGAGGAGTGAGTTGGTCCACTTATACTCAACCCTGTGCTGCGTGTGAACATAGCGAGATGCTGAAATAGGGATAAGGCAGTGGTGGGCCTTGGGCCGACTTTAGCCACAACGAATGGGCCCACTACATAGCTTGTTTCTCATATTCTTATTATTTCTTTTCTCCAGTTTTGGAATACTTTACTTTAAAAAGGGTTTCCAAGGGATTTGCCTTTTCGTCCTCCAAACCACACATTTTTTTTCAATTCATGACTTATTCATTCTATTTTTTCTCAATATTCCTTTTGTTTTAGGGATGGAAAAGAAAAAAAAAAAACAATTAAAAGGAAGTTAATCTTTTTAACTAAAATAAAAACTAGAGAAAAATATAATTTAAATCATTTTAAAATAATAAGCATTTTAAAACATGCATGTGAATTTGTAGTCTCCATCAATTCCAAAAATAATGGTAGAAGTAGAAGGGATGACAATTTGAGGATAGAATAGTCCATCAAGGAAACACTATTTTTTGTGCCTTAATGGGCCTTGGAAATTGGACAAGGCCCGGTATCACTGGGCCCAACCTTCACTTGAAAAGAACTAAATAATTATATTAATTTATTTAGAAAACAATCCTGCGGTCTCCGTTCCTTTCACTTCTGACGCGGAAGGTTGACTCATAATTTTATGCACTCAGTCACAAGGCCCGTTTGATTCCGACGCGCAATGGTGGATTTCTACGTGGCATTCAGAAGTTGAGTTCACGGAACGGAAAAGTCAATTTTACCCTTAAAAATGGAATGATGGGACATAGGGGTATACACTCAACCTTGACAACTCTGACCAACCCAACCCGAACTATTTTTGCTCTTCTTGGTATTTTAGGCTCATCTAGACTTCTTTTTGCTCTTCTTGCATCCACTGAGCCAAAAGAATTCAAATCTGCGGCTAAGAATCCTGCTTGGGTGGCTGCCATGGATGAAGAAATTCGAGCGTTACAACAAAATGATACTTGGACTTTGGTTCCTCGCCCTGCCAACACCAACATCGTGGACTCTAAATGGGTGTTTCGTATTAAATATTTGCCTGATGGATCCGTCAAGCGTTTCAAGGCTCGTCTTGTTGCCAAAGGTTATACTCAAGTTCCTGGCCTTGACTACACTAACACTTTCAGTCCAGTTGTCAAAGCTACCACAGTCCGTGTTGTGCTTTCTATTGCAGTCACAAATAAATGGCCTCTTCGACAACTTGATGTCAAGAATGTTTTTCTCAATGAAACTCTTATTAAACGTGTTCATATGGAACAACCTCCTGGGTATATTGATCCTCGATTTCTCACTCATGTTTGTCTATTAAAGAAAGCCATCTATGGCTTAAAGCAAGCTCCTCGTGCCTAGTTTCAGTGTTTTAGCTCATTTCCTCTCACACTTGGGTTTTCTTGCAATCGCGCTGACACATCCCTTTTTGTCTTTCATCAGCAATCTAACCTTATCTATGTGCTTCTTTATGTTGATGATATTATTGTTACCGGCAACAACTCATCTCTTATTGACAGCTTTACTCGCAAGCTTCATTCTGAGTTTGCTACCAAAGATTTGGGTTCTCTCAGTTACTTTCTTGGTCTTGAAGCTTCACCCACTCCTGATGATCTCTTTATTAGTCAGTTAAAATATGCTCGAGATATTCTTACTCGTGCTCAGTTGCTCGATAGCAAACCAATCCACACTCCCATGGTTGTTTCTCAACACCTGACTGCTGATGGTTCTCCTTTCTCTGATCCTACTCTCTATCGATCTCTTGTTGGTGCCCTTCAGTACTTGACTATTACGCGTCCAGATATTGCCTATGCTGTCAATTCTGTCAGTCAATTCTTGCATGCCCCTACTGCAGATCACTTTCTTGCTGTCAAACGTATTCTTCGCTATGTCAAAGGAACACTCTACTTTGGTCTTACCTTTCGACCATCCACTGTTCCTAGTACGCTCGTCGCTTATTCGGATGCTGACTGGACTGGTTGTCCCGATACTCGTCGTTCTACATCCGGCTATTCTATTTATCTTGGTAACAATCTCGTTTCTTGGAGTGTCAAAAAGCAACCTACTGTCTCACGCTCCAGCTGTGAATCTGAGTATCGTGCTCTTACCACAACTGCTGTTGAACTTCTTTAGGTTACGCATCTTTTGCATGACTTCAAGGTCTCTATTTCATAGCAGCCCTTACTCTTATGTGACAACAAAAGTGCTATTTTTTTGAGCTCTAATCCCGTTTCTCACAAGCGGGCCAAACATGTTGAACTAGATTATCATTTCCTTCGAGAACTTGTTATCGCTAGCAAACTTCGCACACAATATGTACCCTCTCATCTCCAAGTTGGTGACATCTTCACAAAAAGTATTTCTCAGTCTCTCTTTGAATTTTTCAGATCCAAGCTTTATGTTCGTTCAAATCCGACTCTCAGCTTGCGGGGGTGTTAAGGATAATTGACTGTTCATTATAAGGCAAATATCTAAATATTTACCTTACATTACGGCGTTCGTTCAAATCCGACTCTCAACTTGCGGGGGGTGTTAAGGGGTGTTAAGACTTACCATATTTGCCCTTTAATAAGTATTCATTTATTATTCATTACTACCAATGGTAGTGGTGGATTCTTGATGATTCCATGGGCGACTCAGCAGTGCCAATGTTTGTTCAACATACAGAAGCAATGTTGGACGTAATTCACAGAACGGTAAGGATTGAAACCCTTCTCTTTTGGTATGATTACTTGAACTTGCTGCCATTGAAGATGTAGATTTCATAATCCACAGGAGAAGTTGGAAATTAAAGATGTAGATGAAGAGCCGGTCATTGATATTGACAGCCTTGATAAGAAGGATCCACTTCGTGTTGTGGAGTACATCGATGACTTGTATACATACTGCAGGGCAGCCGAGGTAACAATCTTCCAGACAAGACACGATGTGTCTGAAACATAAATCCATGTTCGCTTTTTGTTTCTGATCAAGATGTTCCTCCTCCTCGCAGGTTTCTGTTTGTGTTCCACCAAATTACATGGCCCAGCAAACACATATTAGCGAGAGGATGAGAAGGTTTCTCATTGACTGGCTAATAATTGAGGTTAGTTTTCTAGTATCCTAGTGAGAGTATTGGGAAAGATTAAGTACATTCGAACCCACTAACCTGCATAATGTTCCAATTTGAGCATAAACTCTTGTGAATTTGCTTTTGGATTTGAATTTTTCTAAAAGATGTCACTGTTCCTTACCTAACTCACGATCCTCAAGCTTATTTAATTAACTAAAGTCAGACTACTCCCAATAATCCTCCAGCTTCACTTTTATTTATTTATGAGTAGTGTAGTTTATGAAGGAACTAACAAAGCAGAACATAATGATTGCTTTAAAGGTACACTACAAATTTAAGCTGATGGAAGAGATACTGTACCTAACAGTCAACCTCGTCGATAGATTCTTAGCCGTTCAGGAGAAGAAGAAGCTCCAGCTAGTTGGAGTGACAGCCATGTTTATAGCCTGCAAGTACAAAGAGGTTTGTTTTCTTGTTATGGACGATTTTATTCAGATATCTGAGAAGGCCTTCAGAGCAAAAGAAATTCTAAACATGGTTGGTTTTCTTTCTACTTCAACTATGATGTCTTGGTACGAGGATGATGTGATGTCTGTTGGAGATTCATTGTCTGTCAAATGGTTTTTGCAGGAGAAGTTGATGTTTAACACCTTACAGTTCAAGCTGTCTGTTCCAACACTTTATGTCTTCATGAGGAGGTTTCTCAAGGCTATTCAATCTCACAGAGAGGTAAGAAGCAGCATAACCAATCGAATACAACATAAAAATGACAACAAAACAAACAAACTAACTAACTAACTGAGCTTACATTTTCTGTCTTTTTTCTTCTTTAAAAACTATATTGCTGGAGTTGCTGTCCTTCTTCATGTTGGAGTCTAGTGGAAAGTGTAATGGTGAACTGTAGGCCTTCTTTACTAGCTGGTGCTGCAGTGAACAGCAGTGTTCACTGCTCAATGCACCATCAAGGGCTTCAAAGAATGGAGCAAAACCAGTGAATGACACACCGGGTATTCACAGGAACAGCTTCTGTAAGCATAGACGCACCGGGTCAAGAATCATTGAGTCAATTTGGCTGCTGCTGCAGTGTTTTTTTGGGGTTCTGGGGAAAATGGTTATGGTTATAGTCACACCACCTGGTGTATAGCTTTGATACCAGCCAAAACATAACATTATAGATATTGTCTTATTTGTCTTGTTTTGTATTGTCGTCAGTTTGACAGTTTGGCTCGTTATGTATTATCGTCAGTTTCGCGATCCACCCACTTGGGTTCAGCGTCTTCGTTAGCACACCAACTTGTGTCTGACTCAAATACCATTTGTAATAGCCCAAAAACACTTCTAACAGATATTGTCCGTTTTGTCTTATCACTTATTGTTATCAGCCTCCTAATTTTTACATGTGTCTCTTGGGGAGAGATTTCCACACCTTGAATGTTTTATTTTACTCTTCAATTGATGTGGGACCACATAAACAACTATGGTGAGTTTAAGTTTGCCTAAAATACGGGCGAAAATAAGGAAAAGACGGGTGATTGGACAAGGTGATCCCATGAATATAATGTGCTAGTTGTAGCAAACCTTGTTAGGCTCGTTAACGATCTTACAAAGGATAAGGTGATTTCGAAAGTCACCGGCTACGAAAAATAAAAAAAAAGGGAAAAATAAAAAAGTTTTAAAATACTTATCATCTACCCATGAATGAAATTAAAAGTTTTAGGGTTAAAGTTGATAATTTAAGGAAAATTTGTTTTTTTGGGAAAAAAAAAAAAGTAAGATATCTATTATTTGCGGTTTGGATTAGATTTAAAGCTCTCTTTCACGAATTTTTGTTATTATTTTATTGAAAATGACCACAAATTTTTTATTATTAAAAAATGATTTTATATATATATATAAAAAAATCAAATCATAAAAATACTGAACCGACCTAACTGCGGAATCAAAGTGGAACCAATGTTTTACTGAAATCAGAATTTTTTTATTTTATTGATGATGGTTGTGCCACATAACTCAATGAGGTGTTTAATTTTTGTTCTAAATAATTAATAGACACTGAGGACGGAACGAAGAAATATTTTATGTAAAATTTTTGGAACTATAAAATATTTAATTGCTGTAGATAAATTCAACCTAGCTGGAACGATTTTGGGATCCGTCGAATGTTTCTATTCTCGGCTACGATAGTTTGATTGCTCATATATATAAGCAGAGCTGATTCTTCGTGAAAAATGAAAAATGAAAAAATCGAAGGCAAAGAATCGATGTATGAAAATCGATTAGAAATTCAAATGATATCTGTAAGGTGAATCAAATTTTTGTTTGACAACGAAATGACGAATTGGAGTTCTGGATAATCGATTCGATCGTCCTGTCGATTAGCCGAGTAGATAGCCATGCCACGCACTTGATCTCAGTTTGTAGATATTTTGTTTTCGTGGCCAAGCGAATCATACATTCAAAGCATCCAAATCCCTTTCTGTGGAAAATTGGGAAGGAAACATACGAGAGTTACAAAAACATATCCGTCCTTTGATGTCATCACTCGATCAACCTGTCCATGTCGCAAGTTGTGCAAATATCTGGATTAAGTAATGGTCCTCGTTTCGTGCTGCGTTTAGATATACTTGCAGAGGCGAGGCTCCATTAAATACTAATGGCGCCAACCGAATACCTGCGATGTGTATCAATCGATTTGTTCAATATGAACCAGAATTATTGAGGTAGGTTTTACGTCTTGCCTTTATTTTCTGATTAAATTCATGTTGGAGATGAAATCTTTTCTCGAGAGTTTCAGGGAAGTGAATTTTAACTTTTCTGCATCAATTTGTCGTTGTATGTTATCGGGATATTATATGCGAAGTTGAATACAAAACCTCCGTTTGCTAGTGATGTTGTCGTTTGTTGCGGGTTCAAATTCTGGGTCCAGTTGGGTTCTTCTAGCAATTTCTGGTTATCTTATGATAGAGATATTTGAATCGTCGCAGATCTTTGTTTTTGTCCTCTAAGATTGTTTCGGATAATGGGATATGTATAGAATAAAATCTGGATCGCAGTCCATCCCCTCCGATTTACTCACTGGCTAGTATGTTCTCCTTTACCGACCGATTTGAGCTTATTTTTTCTTCTAACTAGGAGTGATTTTAAGCATTTTCTTATATCGCGCTTGTTCATTTCTGTCTATCATCTTCTCAAACTGTGAACTATTTTCTTGCTAGGTAGACAAGTTTGCTATCCATATAATATTTGAGGTTCCTATCAATTAAACCATTCTTGGTGTTCTGGTGTGTTGGGATATTCGAACATTGTTGAGGTGGGATGATGGATAAGAAGGAGAAAAACTCCCTCACGGTGGCTCCTTTTGAGTGTGCTTGGCTCAAGGATTTAAGATTTCGGGAAGCTGGACGGGGTTGTGTGGCTTTTGAAGCTTCTGCTCATAACGATGTCACGTTAGTGTTCCGAGAGAATGTGGGGAGTCAACATTACCATTACAAACGAGATAGCTGTCCTCATTATACGGTTATATTAGGTAGTCACCGAAATCGACGTCTAAGGATTATAGCTGATGGGAGAACTGTTGTTGATGAAGAGGGTGTTGCTCTTTGCAGTTCCTCTGCGTTCCAGAGCTATTGGATCAGTGTCTATGATGGTTTGATCAGCATTGGGAAGGGGAGATATCCTTTTCAGAATCTGGTCTTTCAATGGCTTGATACAAATCCAAACTGTAGTGTTCAATATATTGGGCTTAGTAGCTGGGATAAACACGTGGGATATAGAAATGTTAATGTTTTGCCGCCGACTCAGGACCATATTTCCTTGTGGAAGCATGTGGATAATGGCATTGAAGGCGAAGAAGATGTGGAACTGGAGTTAGAAGATGAATACACAGATTACAAGAGCTGGGGCCTCGAACATTTTCTAGAAAATTGGGATTTATCAGATGTACTTTTTAGTGTAGATTCTGGGGAAACACTTGTACCTGCTCACAAGGCTATCTTAGTTGCTTCGGGAAATTTTCCCTTGAATTTGTCGCAAGATGTTGTGCAGCTACATGGAGTATCATATCCAGTTCTCCATGCTCTTCTTCAATATATTTACACAGGCCAAACTGAGGTAATTTCTCCCATCATATGTAATTATTTGTCAGATTATGGCCATGGCTTGTTGTCTTTTGACATCCTTTAAAAAACTTTGACATGATAAATTTCCGCTCTTTCCTCTTTCTGCTCCTTTTTGTCTTGTGTCTTGGCCATTTCCTGTTTGCTTAATGTTTTTGGCTTGAATTGGTTCTAGTTCTACTTCGATATTTTGCTGTATGCGGAACTGCACCAAGTAGGCAATTTTAATCTCAACGCAGATACAGTGAAATCAATATTTTGTTTGATAGATTGATGATTGATGCTTCTTATTTACTATAGATTCTAGAGTCTGAACTTGGTTCCTTGAGGGATCTTGCATTACAACTTGAAGTGAATGCTTTAGTGAACCAGTGTGATGACATGATGGAACAATTAAAACGGAACAAAAAGTTGTTGGACTCGGGTAAGAGGGTGGAATTATTATATCCAAGGATTCAGCCCCATTGTACTACAGTCTTTCCCTCCGGGATTCCATTAAATGTGCCGAGGCTCAAACAATTGCAATGTACTGGCGAGTTCAGTGATGTATGTATTTATATACAAGGTCACGGGTTTGTTGCTCATGTGCACAAAATCATTCTTAGCTTATGGAGCATGCCATTTGAAAGGGTGAGGAATTGATACTACATTTCATCTTATGTGGTTACGGTATTGCTGTTCTGTTATTTTGTATAGTTTTTTTTTTCTGAATAACTCGTTTATACATCATTTAGTTTGCTTTCTTCTTTCCATTGATATGGTTGTTCAACATATACAAGCTTTCTGATGTTCTAATAGAAAAGAGGCTCCTTGGTACTGGGTATGCTTATACCATTAATTTTTTTGGAAATTTTTTGTGATTACACGATTTTATCTGATAGTCGACTGCGGTGTGAGAACTAGTAATTGAAATGCAACTTGAAAGGCTGGACTTGTAATTTGTAATGGAGACAGATAGCAAATTAGACTCTTTGTAATATTTGCTTAGCCTCTTCTGTTTTACGCTACCGGGTTTCCATAGTTCATACCTACTGTGCCTCCATCATGTATGGGTCAGGATGATTTCAACTAGAATTTACTGTGTATACTTTTGTCTTAGGTTAGTGTAAATATGTTTTTTCTTCTTCTATTGTTTAAAATTTATTCGGGTGGTACATGGGCAGATGTTTACCAATGGAATGAGTGAAACAACGTCTTCTGAGGTTTATATTAGGGATGTATCACCAGAAGCTTTTCAAACCATGCTCAAGTTCATGTATAGTGGAGAACTCAGTAAAGATGTTACAATGGAATCTGATGTCTTGTTACTTCAACTACTATTTTTAGCTGATCAATTTGGTGTTACTCTTCTTCATCAAGAATGCTGCAAAATACTTCTAGAATGCCTTTCGGAGGTAGTGTGGTAATCCTAATCTTGTACGCTTGTTTAGAGTATGTATTTAATTCTTTTGTTAATTTTTACGTGGATTTGTCATTATTTCTTATTGTACTTGTATTACTAGAAGATAAAAGGGGGAGCGTCATGCAGTTTCAAGGTTCTGAGAACAAAAGAAGAGAATCCTTTTATGATAATGAGTTATAGGAGTATTGATATCCTACATATTATATGCAGGGATGGAGTCTCCTAGTGGAAGATGGTCATACATCAAGATTTTTTGTTTATGCACAAGTTTAATGGACGAGGAAGCAGACAATTTTGGGAAAGTTGTAGGACTTGCTTCCGAAGCTAACTGTCGAACTTTGTTGCAGGATTCAGTATGTTCCATCCTTCAAGTTGTTTCATCAATTCCATGCTGTAAGCTCATTGAAGAAATTTGTGAGAGGAAGTTTTCAATGCACTTTGATTATTGTACGACTGCAAACATTGAATTTGTCATATTAGATGAGTCAACTTTCCGCAAAATCCTTCAGGTATGGGCTCACCTCTTCGACTGCTTTACTTTGTGGAACTAATGGTTGAGAATTTTAGGACGAGTATTTATTGCTAAGTGCATCTTCTATCATAAAGCTACTCTAAAACAACCCTAGGTTCAGTGGAGGGGGGGAGGGGGGCTAGTCAAATCATCATCCCCACACTTCCCCTGCTTTAAAACACGTTCTACTTGAAGCTG